CCCTGCCGTATCTTTGTTGCAGAAATAGATAAGTAACCCCTTCTGTTATGCTTCCTTAAGTAGATGTTTTGCTGCCAGCTGGAAGAGCTAATTCGTTGGCTGTACAACGTGGCGGACATCACCGGCAGCTGGGTCCCAGCCTCGCCGGACACCGAGAGCGCGACGGCATCGCTGCACCGCTACTTGGTAGGTATCGCCGCTGGCTTTTCTTCCCCCTCTTCGGTGCCGCGGGCAGCCAGCAGCACGAAGCAAGACACCGCTGGCACAGCCCAGGTGGGTGATGCGGGGTGCATCGGGTGCGCAAAGGCGAATTTGGGACCATGGGGAACCTGCTCAGGGGAAACTGCTCCCCGGGCAACGTGCCGCAGGTGTGTCTCTTCCAAAAAAACCCTTCTAAGCAGCGCTTCTCTTCTCCTTCCCTTCCCAGGAGTTCAAGAAAGACGTGGCCAACCACCGGAGCCTGACGGAGAGCGTGCTGGAGAGGGGAGAAGCTCTCCTCGACTGCATGGCGTCGAGCTCGCCAGGTGAGGAGGAGCGCTTGAGCAGGGCTGGTGGGGGACACAGCTGGTGATGCTGGCCATAGCGTCTGCCCCCCGAAATCCCTGGCCCCACGTGTGTGGGGGTGGGGAAGCGGCGGGCAGAGTTTGCCATTCAGCAGCTGTATAGGAAGGAAAAGGGTTTTACACCTCCGTTGCTGTCCAGAGACTTGGAAGTTTGAAGCCATTACTCCCAAGTGCTTTCAGCTGCACCATGCCTTGACCCTTGCCTTGCGCCGTGCCATCCATCGTGGGCGACGGATGTGTTTCTGCCTCTTACGGGTCCCTTCTTAGGTTTTTATCTTAACCGCAGCATGGCCAGCTCCCGCTGGGTCTGTGGGATGCTGTCGGCATGCAGCTGGGAGGAGATGCTGGCTGGGCTTTCTTACACAGTCCCAAAGGTTTCCTTTGGGAGCCCCTATTTCTGTATCTTCACTCTTCACCTGGAGCCTCCTGGGTCGCTTCCCACCCCCCCCCAAACTCTGCATCACAACTTGGATGGGATGAAGATCAGCTTATTGATTTCTAACACTCCATTTCCTTCAAAAGTCTGTCCGGGCGAGTGGAACTCTCTCATATTGCTCTTGCAGACATTGAATTGTCACGTTACTGCCACCTCCATCATACGTTTTGTTTTCCAGCTCTGAAAGACACGCTGGGTTTGATTGCGAAACAGTCAGAAGAGCTAGAAACCCACGCGGAGCACTTGTACGAGTCCGTTCTAGCTGCCGTGGGTCCCATGCAGGGCGAGGACGGGATGGAGGACGAGGGGGTGCAGCAGACGGCTGCTCAGTGGGTAAGCAGGGGGGCAAACCAGCCTTTCTGCGGCAGGGGGGAGAGGGAGGGAAGCGTAGGAAGATAAACACTTAAATTAGCAAACACTATCCATCAGGCTTTATTATTATTTCTTTTAATCTGATGTTTGGAGAGCCTAAAAGGAGAAGAAAGCAAGGGCGAGCTCAAAATGGATGCCCCAGCGTCTTTAAATGTGTGTCAGGGCGTCGGTGAACCAGCTGATGAAACCCAAGAGCATGATGAGAGCGACGGCAGCTCCTCGGGGGGGACCGGGGGGGCCGGAAGCAAGGGCACCGCCAGGCGCTCGGAGGGGACGCCAGCAGTCCGGCACGGACAGCGGCTCTACCGAAATCACTTGGACAGCGGAGGAAAGATGGGAAGGGAGTGGTTTTTTGTTTGGTTGGGTGGTTGGTTCGTCCCCCCCTTTTTTTTTTTCCCTCAAAGAAAAATTCTGCTTGCCATGTCATGGCAGGAAAGGGAAGCAAGTGAATTCAGGTGTAAAATATGGGCTAGAAAACGTGTTTGCTGATTTCTTGAACATCTTCCTTCAAATAAAACTGCAGAGACAAAAAGTGTTTCAGGAGGGCACGGCAGGAGCGTTAGCATCCCTCAGCCACTCACGCTGCGATTGAGAATCGCTATAAAACCGAGCCTGTGTGAAACGATCACGGGTGTTAGCAAGGTGCTGGGTCCAGAGACGTAGGAAGGCTCTTAACAGCTTCTGAACACCAAGAAGGAATTTAGGAACTGCAGGATAACCTTGCCCCTCCCCACCCCCTCCTACCCGCATTAGCGCAGACTGGGGATTTCCCCATGGCCCACTCCACACCTTAAAATTTGGAGTTGCAAAGGGGAAAAATTACTTCCAGTGCTTTAGAGGAGAGTAACAATATCTTAAGTCGTTTGGTTGTTTTTTTGTTTTGTTTTTTTTTGTTTTGGTTTTTTTTTTTTAATTTCTAAATATACATAACTATATTCCTATACAGTCCCGAGCATATGTGGAGGTGATTTAAGTAAGTCTAGCATGGGGGTTTGGTTGGTTTGTTGGATTGCAGCCAAAGCACAATAGCAAACTGGATCTAATTTATTTCAGGTGCTGCCTCTATCAGACCCGGGCTGCGTTAGCCAGTCTCGGGATGGCTGAGAAGAACCGCAGCAAGCACCAAACCACCTCGTCCACCTCTCGCAGAGATGCCAAATATGTATGATCACAGCGTTCGGAGTTAGCCAGCCCGGGCTGGTTTCAGTTTGGGTTGGTGTTTTTTTTTTTTTTTTTTTTTTCACCGAGGCTTGAGAAAGGCAAGCTGTACAGCAGTGGTTTGGCTGCTGGGATGTCCAGTTAATAGTGCTGACTACGTTGGGGAGTTTTTGTGAGTGAGGAATGTACAGCTGGCCTTTTTTTCTGTGGTTTGTTTCTTAATGTAGCTTTCCTTTTTTTATTGAAGTAGCCTGTTCCGTGTGTTAGGAAAATGTCAGGAACACGCTGGGTTTTTTTTTAACTGAGTAATCCATAGTGTGCCGTGCAGCTTGCTTCTAAGTAAAGCCGTGTGATTTTAATAGCCGTGTCCTCATGTTTTGTTTATGCTCTTCAAAAATAGGTGCTAGAAGCCAAGAAATAGCAACTCCTCCTGGTTCTTGGGAGCGAACTGAACTCTTGTTTATAATTACATTCCCTGCTGAAGCAGAGCCTAGTTAACTTTCAGTTTTCTTACGCATAAACACAAAGAGCCCATATGCTATACGAATCTTGATAAAATAACAGATGAGCACACTCAGGAAAGAACCAGGTTGTGTATAACCTGCTGTTACCTGGTACTTGCAGTAGTTTTGTTAGTGCTGTGCTGGTTTCCCTGGGTGAAGAGTTGTGCCTTTCTCCTCTTACAGCTAGTGCAGCTCATCACTGCTCACAGAACATTCACAAAGGGTTTCCAAACCCTGTCTGTAACAGAAAAGGGCATCTCTGAAGCAGCGTAACAAGGTAAGTGGCCAAAAAAAATTACAGCCGACTACAGACTGTTAGCACTTGGCTTTAATTAACCTTTAAACTAAATGGCGATCATCATGTTCTTGTGCAGAAATACATCATTTCCTCCCATTCTTGTGAACAGAACAAAATGAAGTTGCTGTACTGCCCAAGTAAAAGGTGAAAGCATAGTTAAACTGAAGCAGTTACAAATGACAATTCATTGGGGTTTTTTTGATACTCTCTCATCTTCCATCTCCTCAGCTAAAAGGGCCAATTTTTTTATTGCTGAGTTGCAGGTGACAATTCACAGATCAGCGTAAGTCCAACAAAAAGGCTCAAGCAAATGGTTACAGCGAGACTGGTCTCACTGGCTTTACTGACACCAGGTCCCGCACCGATGGGCATTCCGGGTGATGCTTAAACAAAGCCTATAGCAGGGCAGGATGGGAGTTACATGCAAGGAAAGGCTGCTGCCTGCTTGCTACCACTCCCAAGTCTTAAGCCTGACCCATCATGGCAAAGGTATTTAATATTTCAGCTCACAGGTAAGAGACTACAGTGCCCTCGCCCAGGATTTTTAGGCCTGCTCTACCCTCTTCCACACACCTCCAGCCTGACCACCACAGGCTCCAGCATGTAACAGCACCAGCCCAGTAACACAGCAATGACTTAGGGGAAGAAAAAAAAAAAATAACCACCAAACAACTGGTGTAGCCCAAGTTGGTTTTGCAATGCTTTTATTACTGTATATATTAACATTGTTTTGGATAGTATGTAGCAGGCATCTTGACATTTAAGTTCATTTGTGCACTTCTCTGAAGGGAAGATGTTTTACCCTCAATACACCTCCTGGTTCGCTTCCCGATCTTAGCAGCACTTGCTACCCCTACTGCTCCCGCTCTCCGGGAGGAGCAAGTCACATTATATAATGAATTATACCAACAAGCACATCTCTAATAGAAAGCACATCACTTTATTGTGAAGGTCTCAAGTGGAAGAGTTCAACTTAACCATGACAATACTTTATGTATTACAATTGCCTGTTGATTGATGCAACTATGTTGAAGAAAGCTGTTAGCCAAAGTCATTCCCCCCCCCAAAAAAAAAAAATCAGAGGATATTTGCACCAATTTTAGTTATACCTCACAACATACCTAGGCTATATTTTTACTATCACAGGGTGTATTTACTACTAGGGGAATGTTACATGGTCTTTCAAACATGAGACTATTTACAGAATAGGCTGAACATTTGAGTTTAGGTAAAGCTGAACAATTTTACATGTATAGGAAGTGTTATAGGCTAGCTTTCCTGTGGCTTTTAGCTAGACATCAGGCACTAATGATTTGATTAGCTCTGTACAAAGAATCACACACTGTCCAAAACCTCTTGGCTGCTGGTTAGTTCCAAATTGTTAGAGATAGCGCCTACTTTGAGCAACAGTCTGTTGGGGGCCTTACTGTCCCCGTTTCATCCTTCTGATGCCTCTATGCGTGACAGAATAGAAGCTAAGCTGTTGCACTAAGTCAGAAGAGTATTGATTAAAAGAGGATGGAATTAACAGTATATAGAAAAGACATAATATACTGGTAGAAAGTTATACCACCTCAAGGTTACGCTGAAGTCATTCACGTTAGGGAAACACTGTTCTCTCCCCTACTACGTAAAGTGGACAGGAATTCCCTAAATGGAGTCCTTGAGAAATAAATTAAGTTCCAAGACCAAGTTAGGGAACTGTTGTACATTCAGAGTGCATTATGCCTCCATGAACATTGGCTGGGTGTTTCTGGTACAGCAGATGTGCCTTAAGCACCATGACAACTCAGGCTTTTGGGCCATAATCACTGGTTTTAGTTGCAGGGAAGGTCTCTGGTCTGCTAGAAGGTCTGAGAGCCATGGCTGCACACAGATATGTTTTGTGCACAATGCAAGCCTGATTTCCCCCTTAGCCATACAAATTAAGACAATATTTATCACCATACAGTTTGATATTACTTCCAATAAGTACAATATTTATTAAACATTTCTTCAGTTTTGTTACATATTGTGCAACAAATTACAATATTCTGCAGCCACAAATTATATGCAGAGTATGAAGAAACTATTAATCAGATAGTGTGATCTTTCCATTTATAATTCTACAAGAAGGAACTAGCAAATCAGATCTTACATATATCTTACTAAATTTTATGCATGGAAAGTGACAGACACTGTTGTGCTGTTTGATACAAAATGGCTAAACTTCATCTTCAGAAGACTAAACCTGACATCTAAACATGCCAATAGAAACATCAAAACAAAAATACATCCTAACCAACCACAGGAAACAGTCTGGTATCAGGAAAAGCAACAAGGATTACACGTTTATAAACCAGCACACAAAGGTTTAAAACAGTTCTGAAAATGAAGTTAGCTGTCTTGAGTCAAGGGAATAAAAAAAGTCAGTATTGACCATTTACAATCTCTGACCTTTGTGGAGACGGTAAGAATCTGTTGTAGTGCAGCTACATACAGTACAATTCAGGCAATTTTTTTTTTTCACTTGGGTTCAGATTGCAAATTCATTGTTGTGAGACAAAAGGGGGGAGGCAAGTTTTAGCAGCAACCTCCACTAGACTGCTTGACTGGAGTGCTCTGAATTTTAACATTGGACTTCTCTGCACCACCAGCTGTCGCTCCCGGACCCATTCGTTTTTTAATCTCAGCAGCCATGGTCATGAAAGACTGTTCTACATTTGTGGCATTCTTTGCACTGGTTTCCAAAAATGGAATTCCAAGAGAATCTGCAAATTCCTGCAAATCAAGAAACAGTGAACAGTAAGCTCATACACCAATTCGTACCTCACCTTGTTTCCCAGTGCACTTCTGGATAAGCCACAAATTCCTAGACCGCCCCCCCACTCCCAAACTCCAGTCTGTTGATGGCTTGCACTGCAAGGGGTCACTCAACTGTTTGCATTTATGGCACCTTGATACCTGTGTACCAAGACACTTCCCCGCACTAGAACTTACTCTAGTGCATTACGATCCAGACTAGATGCTCAACCAAAGCAAATACACACACCAGTAGCAACATACCTTTGCTGTTGTATAGTCTACTACTTTCTTTGTGGTCAGATCACATTTGTTCCCCACCAACAACTTGTTGACGTTTTCACTGGCATAACGGTCTATCTCCTGCAGCCACTGTTTTACATTATTGAAAGACTCCTAGGAGATAAGAGAACTGTAAGCAAGACTCTTAACCAAGAGGACAGTTCAGCACTATTCAGTAATGACCGGGCAAGACTATGAAGCAGTGTACTTAACTACCAACGTGATTCACAACCACAAGAGAGAACTCTATACTTCAATGCTACAGTACTCCCCTGATTGCCTCAGGACAGGCAAGTCAACACAGGGTCTACACAGCTCCTTAGTCCATGCTCTAAGCCCTACACAATCAGCCCTTCCTCCCTCGCTGCACTCCCCCCCATTATTTTTCCCTGCTCCATATCTTGAATAGTCAACAACTATCATCTGGGACTCTTCCTCCTCCTGTAGCAGAGGTAAAAGACATGGCCCACAGCTGAAACCAGGAGAATCCCAGGCATTTATAAAACACCAGGTATATCAGGTGCAAACCACATTGTTGCAGAGATGCTGGAACAACCTTTGACTCCAGAAATGCAGAACTGCCATGCTGAACTGATATTCAAGTTAGCGATTGAACCCGACTGTTCTTTTTCTATTAATTCAGGAAACACTACACTTCCTAAGAGCCCTTCAAACAGGACAACTGCACCAGTAATCTTCAGAGGTTCTTTCACAGAAAACACTGGCTCACTTGTATCCTGCACACATGCTGACAATTTTCTGTTTCAAATGCCAGTTTTTATTGTAAACCGAAGTCCAAGTACATTCAGAAATCTTTCAACAACTTCCATCAGTAACTCAGACTTCCTGCTACCAAAGGCAGGGTGAGAAATATTCACACAGAACAATCAACTACCTGCCCAGCAAGTTTTAGGTTAAGCCTAAAATACAACTGCTTTAGAGCCACAGATCCCACTGCTCCTTTTATTTCTGTGTTTAGCCCCAAACCAGAGAATAACACAGACATTTGGCTTGAAGAACACGGTCACTGTCTCCTTAAGAAGTGCCAAGTTGTTAAATTCCCAGTTTTATTTACTTCTCAGCCTAGTGTATTCCACCTGGAGAAACTCTCCAGGCACAGGTTTAACACTTACCTGATCTGTAACATCATACACAACTATGATGCCGTGAGCGCCTCTATAGTAACTGGAAGTGATAGTTCGAAACCTCTCCTGTCCTGCCGTGTCCCACTACAAGACAAATAACAGGATCAGTTACTGCAATGTGGCTGTACCAGGGTTACACATTAGCTTCCAGAAATACAGCTCAGCTCATCAGCCATCCAACTATAAGCACATCCAAGTCACAGCTACAGAAGTGGCTCGGAAACTGTATGCATCAAATAGGATTTAAGAAGATAGGTACTTTTCTGCAAATGCTCATTCATATGGTTTTGGACAAGCGTAGTCAAGATTTAAGAAGATAGGTACTTTTCTGCAAGTGCTCATTTGTATGGTTTTGGACAAGCGTAGTCGAGAGATCTCACTGAGGAAAACATTAAACAGTTCTGACCCATGA